GCGAGGAGTCTCATTGTGTCTGTTATTGATCTGTGGGCATCGTAAGGTCTGCCCTGTCTTGAGGATTCATTGCCAGGACACAGACGGGGCGGGAATAAGTCCTTCAGTTTTGAAGAAAAGTGAGCAAATTTAAGAATAAGTCATTCTCAGTTGGCCCTATTGCTGAATTAAACCTTCATCTGTCAAGTATGCTGTGCACAACCAGTCAACCTTGCTCCACTGAACCGCACAATGAAACCGTAGCAGATGTAGATGTCCTTACATTATACACAAAGAGAGACTTAAGACTATCATGTAGCCGTTCCTAGAAAAGACATAAAAGTTAAAGGAAACACTTTATTTCTTTTATTTTTATTTATTTATTATTTTGGAAGAGGCGGAGCATTTGCAATGGAATCTGGTTATGTTATAATTATCAAGGCTTGGTCTGCTCTACAACGTAGCAAAGGGTTCCGTAAATCCTATTCCTTATGCACAATATAACTTTTTGAAGGTATTGTCGGCCTGCGAAGGGCACAATGAAAGGAATCTGCATCAGCACTCCATCAAATTTGAGTCAGCAGTGTTTTCTGACAGAGACAACTCACCACTTCCCAACATGTACCAGAAAGTGTTAAATATAAGATTATAGTGACTGTGCTTTGCTTGAAAATACCTCCAAGAATTTGAAACTTAAAGGGCCATGTCAACTTTTAATCTGCTTATACTTTTAGCTATTGGATCCTGCTTAGCATTATGCCAAATAAAGAACAACACTTTGACTTGACTAAGATTTTGATCGAGATTTTTGCCCTTTTGTATTTCCTTGGCTGGATTTGAGTTGGGCGAGACAATTTTGGAAGACGCTGATGTCAGGGTCATCCCTTAAACCAGTCAGAATTAGGATTTTTGTCAGTAGCTCCGCCTGCACAAGGTAAAGTCTTGTTACTGCCTGACAAACTATTGAGCTAAATAGCTAGCTAGCATTTTAAAAACACTCCTTAACCATGATCAAATCACTTCATGATTATAATTATAAAGAAAAGTGTCTGCAGTGCCTGAAAAAAAAAAACAAAAAAAAAAACATTAGTTCCACAATTTCACACAAATTGTAGATAGAGCTGATCCTTCTCTCCTTTTCTCCCTCTGCTGCTACTGGATGTCTGATGCTTCTGGGCAGAATGAAGTTAATTAAATGTCTGTGTAATTTGTGTACTTGGTAATCAATTCCTCACGCTGCTTGCTGTCATGCTACCTAGCCACAGTATACCATACATTAAAAAATGCGAAGTGTTTGAATAATTTGCCAAATTCCAACTAGTGTTAACCACTAATACTTGTAACTACAATTATTGTAGTCATTCCTGGTTGGATGCTGTGCAGTGTGAGATGCCCACTTATTAAGTTGAGTTTTGGCCAGTTTGGTGGTGAAGGAACTTTAGTGGTTCCTTTCATGTTTCCCTCACTATACCACAGATCATTTTTAAAAATCATTTTTTTGATGGACTTTCTTACTGGCCTGTCAGGCCCCAGAAAAAGACTGAAGATTAGAAACAAAGTTTTTTTTTTAATCAGTGTTTTAATTTGCTTTTTACTTTACTTTACTTTAGAATGGAATGAATCAAATTCATCTTAGAAAACAAGCCATTCGCATTAAGAGACACATACTGTTAGGAAATAAGCACATATAGCCATACATATATGTAAAACTGCAATTTCACATGTCATTCTCATGTTTTTTATGTTTCCTGAGTAAAAATAAGGGGGAAAATAAACAACATTATATGTCATATACTTAATGACTGAAATTTCGGATGTCAAATCTACAAATTTTATTTTCCATTTAACTTTACATTTATTCTGTACAGAAGTGGTGCCTAATTTATGATTTTTACACAGCTACCTACTATCCTAATACAGCCACTTAAACCAAAACATATCACTCAATTTGGAGTCTTTGTGCTGAGGACCAAAAATCAAACAAAAAATAAAGTGTTTGTGTTATGGATGGGCTGTAACCATTTAAAATTTTCTTACTATTAAATCCTAGTTTTTACAAGAGCTTCTCCCTGCAGGATGCAGAGCAGAGGCACTGGTGAACGGGCTCATAAAAACACTTACTGTCAGCCCTGAGGTAGTGGCCATGATGGTGAAAACCAGTAGCACTGCTCCTGTCCCTGCCCCTTGCTGATAAGAGCCCCATTACCAAATGTGAAGTGAGCAATGACATTAGTGGTTAGATAGGCCAAGTGAAAGCAACACCCCTCGCAGCCAGATAATATTCTGCAGATGAGTTTATGATTAGCAAGTTTGCAAGCAAGGCCATGAGCACAAGGGCACTGCCGTCTCACGATTACTTGCGTAAAGACTAATAAGAATGTCCTCAAGCTACTGAAACCACTGGCAAGGTAATCTACTTGTGTGAAATTATAAATTATGGGCTGGTATACCTATCAATAACAGTTTTTGCAAGAGGATACAGATCTAATCTTAGATTTGCATTTGTATGAGAATACAGATCCATAATCTTTGGTTACGACATCTTTACCATTTCACTCTCATCTCCCTTTGGAAGCCATAAAGTAGGCTATGCTTTTGAAAACTGCTCTGTACTTTCTTTGAGTGGTTGTTTTTCCTGGACACACTCTCTCTTCACACACACACACACCACACACACACACTTTTCATGGCCATGCAGCAGCAGTGGTTGTCTGCTGCTTCAGCCCAGCTCAAGGCCAGCACACAGGCACACAAACACAAGGTCAGCCTGTTCACAGCACATAAAGGAGCAGATGCCAAATACACAGCAACCACCCCCCCCATACACACACACACACACACACACACACACACACACACAGCACTACTGCTTCTGCTTAAGTACTAATAAGAGTTCTTGATGGGTTTGTGCAGTTCTGGGTGCAAATGTCTGAACATAAAAAACATTCTCACCTCCTGAATTATCATTAAAGGTTCTTTCCAGTATGAAGAGCCATAGTTTAACACGGCAATAGTGTTGTGACATCAGTCCCCACAATGTTCCCTCTAAAACTCTGAACAGTTTAGAATTTTCAACCCTGTAACACAACTGATTCACATTCTAATTATGACTAACTAATTTTCATGTAATTATTGAAGCAAGCCTTAGGTTCAAGTCAGGGCTTACCTTGTTAGTAAATGGGTACAAACAAGAAAACTTGAATTAGGACCAAGTTACATAATCCTCATATGAATTTGCTTATATTAAAAATATATTTGCAAAATATGTATTGGTTTAAATGTATAGAAATAATGTATTTAAATGAAACAAATATATTTACCTGTGCCATTTTTGAAAAATATATGAAAATACAGTGCCTTACAAATGAATGCAGCCCCCTTAAATGTAATTAGATTTCTCTGGATTGCAAAATACACATTGATAGTTTGTATGGTGCCAAATTTATTTTAAAGTTTGACCCTCAAAAATATCCTGAAAAAAAATTACCAACTGAATCTTTTTGCCTATGTATTTGCTGTGAAAGCTCCAAGTTTACACAGATCAAAGATATTGACCTAATAAGGACACAGTTGGTTTAGAATTGGCCCGTACCTATGAATCATTGAAGTTCACTTTTGCTGGATAAAAGACAAGTGCCACTGGTCAGACTATGAATGTGAAGGATAGCTGTGAAAATTAAGACCAAAGAGCATTTTAAGGAAATTACAGATAAAGTTATAGACATGCACAAGATAGAAAAAGGCCACAAAATAATATTGAAGTGTTTGCATACCCAGTGAGCATGAAGAGCAAGAAGGTGACTTGTGAGGAAAGCCACATAAAAGGCCAACATTCTTTTTGAAGGAAGTACATAGTTCACTGGCTGAGACTGGAGATCATCATATCAAGAGCTCTGCACACAATGGCTAGAAAGAAAGTATTGCTGAAAAAAACACATCAAAGTACCCCTGGAATTTGCCAGAAAGCATCGAAGTGACCAAGCTAAAATGTGAGATAAGGTTTTGTGGTTGGATGAGACAAAAAATGGGGCTTTTTGGCCAAAACTCGAAATACTATTTGTGGCGCAAAACCCATCAGTGCCCATTCCTCAACAAACACCATCCCAACATCCCATCTTGTTAAATTTGAAGGACAGATGGGCAAAATACAGGGAGATACTGCAAGCCAACCTGCTTCAGTCTGCTTAAAAGATTGGGAGAAACTTCACCTTTCAGCAATACAGTGATCCCAAGCACAAGGACAGTGCAACACAGGAGTGCTGAACAACAAAAAGGTGAATGTTTTACAGTGGGCATATCAAAGTCCAGATCTCGATCCAATCAAGAATCTGTGGCACTGTTTGAAAACTGCAGTCCACAAGAGTGATTTTTCAGTTTTCTTTATATCGGCTGACAAATAATGAATCTTGACTTTTACTTTAACAGCATATTGGTTTGCACTAAAAATACTGGCTGGAACAATCTGTGTGTCATTTGTAATCCAGACAAATCTGATGACTTTTAAGGAGCTTAGATACTTTTGTGAGGCACTGTATATGTGCTCTTTCACTCTCCCACAAGTTGCATGCTTGTTTTTCAGGCTACCAGGTGAAACTTACATGCAACTAGTTTCATGTTGTGAGCTGCTTGCAACATATTTTTGAAAAACAAAGTTATAATTGAATACATTTAGGTACTCCACTAGTTAGCCAAATTCACAGCTTGTATTTTTTTTACTCCATTCTTAGTGAAGTCATCTGTAAGCTGTCATTTATGGAATTTCATCAATGTTTTTTTCTAACTTGAAAGTTATTAGTTTTTCCTTTTATCTATCTGTATGTTTATCTATGGTTCTTTAATATTGGTGTTTTTATCTGTAGTTTGTATGTCAAATCTTTGAAAAAATGTGTTTGTGTTTAACAATTTTTGTTATAGCCTAATTGATTTCTCAGTCATCCTCTCTAAGAAGAAGAAAATCAAAAAACTTCAGAAAACTCATGATGTCATGCTACAGGAAACTGACAAAATGAAAAACTACCAACCTTGAGCCACTCAGGGGAAAGGGGTCTTCTTTTCACAAAAGCCCAATAAACCATCTTCTGTTTTGCTGTCTTGTCTACTGAACCAGTGATGGCAGTTGTTTGAAAGTATGTCATTCAATGTGATCACATGATGTGTTCTCACAGTTCTGCTTGGTTGTTTCATCAAACAAAGTTTTATACGAAGTTGAGATGCTTGTGACAGTTCCGGCTGAGTTTCAAATGAGTTGAAGTATGCCTTCCGTTCCATATGTCAAACACAAGTCTAGCCCGTGACACAATCCTATCAGGCCCACAAAAGTATTTTAATTTTCCGTAAAGCCTGTTTCACAATGAGCTGCTCTACAAACCCCAGCATGCACTGCAACATAATGTGCGCTCCCACCTCCTCCCCCAACAACAACCTATGGGAGAGCGGTTACACCACAAAAAGAAAACATGGCAGGTGTCTAGTTCAAGCAAAGTTCAAGATTACCTCTTGCAGGCATTTCAACAGGTTTAACAGTTATCTGTAGATAAAGCAGCCTGTTGCAGCACAGCACTCACTAGCACGCCATCCAAATAATACCTGCTCTGGGGTGGTCCTATGGGGGTCCTAACAAACATAACACAGCAAAAGAGGGCTAACAAAGTATGCAGAGAAACAGATGGACTACTGTCTGTAATTGTAGAACTACAAAGTGCCCCTGTATGGTCAATGGACAGTGAGTGTAGATACAAGGAGGCATTCCTAATAAAATGCTCAGTGAGTAAGTGAGTATATATATATATATATATATATATATATATATATATATATACAGTGGCAAGAAAAAGTATGTGAACCTTTGAACCTTTTGGAATTTTATGGTTTTCTGCATTAATTTGTCATAAAATGTGATCTGATCCTCATCCAAGTCAAATGTATTGACAAATATAATGTGACAAATATAATAATAATACCACAAAAAAAATACGATCTTGCAGGTCTATATTGTACACACTCATTCAACATTCAAAGTGGTAGTGGAAAAAGTAAGTGAACCCTTGTAATTAATAGCTGGTTGACCCCCCTTGGCAGCAATAACCTCAACCAGGCGCTTCCTGTAGCTGTGGATCAGACCTGCACATCGTTCAGGAGGAATTTTAGCCCATTCTTACTGGCAGAACTGCTTTAGCTCTGTCATGATCCTTGGACGCCTCATGTGTACGGCTCTCTTCAAGTCAATCCATAGCATTTCTATAGGGTTGAGATCTGGGCTCTTACTTGGCCACTCCAAAAGGTGGATTTTGAGGTGGAAGATGATAATTTCATGGTGATGTGCAGTGCCTTTTTTACGCCAGATGTAGCGCTGCGTGTTCTTTCCAAATAGTTCAATCTTAGTTTCATCTGCCCACAAAACATTTTGCCAGTACCGTTGTGGAGTGTCAATGTGCTCTTTCGCAAACTTCAGGTGTGCAGCAATGTTCTTTTTAGTAAGCAGTGTCTTCCTTTGTGGTGTCCTGCCATAGATACCCTGCTTGTTCAAGGTTTTATGGACTGTAGAGTCATGAACACAGATGTTAGCCTGTACCAATGACGCCTTCAAATCTTTGGCTGACACTCTGGGTTGTTTCTTTACCTCATTGATGAGTCTCAGTTGTGCTCTTGGGGTCATTTTGACTGGGCGGCCACTTCTTGGCAGAGTAGACACAGTCCCAAATTGTCTCCTTTTGTAGATTGTTTGCCTTACTGTAGATTGGTGAATTTCTAAAGTCTTTGAAATCGCTGTATAACCCTTTCCAGCTTTATGTAAATCAACAATTTTTGATCGTAGATCCTCTGAAAGCTCTTTTTGGCGAGGCATGGCTCACATACGCATATCCTTCTTGTGCAGAGCAAACTCAAAAAGTTTGAGTGGTTTTTATCAGTCAAAGTAGCTCTAGTCCACACCTCCAAACTCAGGTATGCTAACACCTGACTCCAATTAGCTTTTTTGAGATCACTAACTCAAGGGTTCACATACTTTATCCTTATACATATATATATATATATACACACACACACACACACACACACATATATATATATATATATATATATATATATGTATGTATGAAATGTCCCGGTACTATCGGAACAAAACTTCGAATCTTAGTTTTTGACAGTACCTGTTGCCCTTTGCATTGTGTGTAAAATTCATAATGAATAGGCCAAAAGAAATGGCCTAAAATTACTTGGAATCTGGTTACATAAGACTTTTTTCCTTCTCTTGTAAAGTTACCATTTTGGAGATAGTAGGTCTTGGTCTGCAGCTATATATATATATATATATATATATATATATATATATATATATATATATATATATATATATATACACCTTAGGATGCTACAAACTTGGGAAAAGGGTTAATCAGGGTTATATCATTACAATGAACATTCAAGAGTAAGTGCACATGAGCCAACACTGTGTATAGAACACCCTGCCTGTAATGGCTCATCAAGGATCAGAGTTCATACATAGTGTGTGTCTGTGTGTGTGCACGAGCAAGCTTGTATGTGCATTATGGCATAAGGTAGTTGAAGTTGAACAAATGGACGTCTTCATTTTTCATGGAACAATTTCGAAGCTTGGTTGCGCTCACAAGGCCTTGCACCTTCTCCGCCTTTTGTGCAATTCTTTGAACGACCAGTCTGTGAAGACTCTCTCCATCTGTACTCTGACTCATGGTTGAGCTCTGAATGTGTGGCCTTGGCTCTGTCCTTCTAGGTGCAGCGATGAAAAGATAATTCATTAGATGAGCAGAGCACAGGAAAGCTAGTTTATAGACATCTCCACACTCTCAACCAATTGCAGACAAACAGCACTTAGACTTGAAAGTTATGTGCACCTTCTGCATGTTGTCCAGATCTCTCTAAATGAGAAGCGGGAAAGTGGATCATAAAGCTTCATAAAAAAGTGTTGCTTATGCCAGGTTTGTTGCTTAGAACAGTGGTATACCTTGGTTTGTCTTTGTATGGATTTTTTTTTCTGTTTTGAGCCCTTCCATCCCCCCACCACACACATACACCACACACATACACATACACACACACACAACAAAATAATTTTTTCACTACCTAAAAAATTTTAACACAGTTCAGTCCAGCACAATGTCCTGAAGGTTAGGTGGTCAATACAAAATACATGGTTCTCAAATTGGGGCAAGCCGGAACTTATGTCCGTGCTTGGCTGCAAGGAGGATGGAGATGGTCAACCAGGACATGGCAACTCACCCCATCAATGTTACATGGCATGCAGAAATCATAGCCAACCAACTATGTAGTGATTGGCCCCATTTTTTTTTTTTTTGCCCAATTTGACTTGCATCTTGACTACGTTACACAAGTGTAGAACAAAATTATTCAAACAAAACACACTAGGCAGGTTAGCCTCAGTGAGCTAATTGGCCAGCCATGCAAACTTTTCAATGTAAAATGTGTTTGAGAAGTTTAAATATAATAATAATAATAATAATAATAATAATAATTTTATTTATATAGCACTTTTCATGCTGGTGGCAGCTCAAAGTGCTTTACAGACAGGTGATAAAACATAGTTATAGAAGAGATCATTAGTATTTAATTAGAATCAGAAGAAAATGAAGAATATTAAATTACAAGATAAACACCACGAGACATTCAGTTTTAGTTAAATGCTAATTTAAAGATATACATTTTTAGGTGCTTCTTAAAAGTGAGCACTGAGCTTGACTGTCTAATAAAGGTGGAATTGAGTTCCACAGTTTAGAAGCATAATAACTGAAAGAGGCCTCTCCATGTTTTCTGTATTTTACAGAGGGTATCTGTAGAAGGCCACTATCTGCAGATCTTAGATTACATGGTAGAACATAAACAGACAGACAATCTGTGATGTAAGCAGGTGCTAGGTTGTTTTGAGCTTTAAAGACTAGTAGCAGAACCTTGAAATCTATCCTGAATGATACAGGCAGCAAAGGCCCTAAGACCGAACCTTGGGGGACTCCACAAGAAACGGCAAATCGTTTTGATGAATGATTTCCAAGTGAAACCATGAACTGCGTATTACTTAAATATGATTTAAACCATTCCAAAACTGTGCCCAAGAGGCCGACCCAACATTCAAGATGCTGGAGTAAAATCTTGTGGTCAACGGTATCAAAGGCTGCACTAAGATCTAATAAAACCAAAATAGAAGGATTTCTATTGGTTTTATTTCTATAACGTACGAAACATCAGTAAATAATGCCTTTGTCTGGCTATAAACTTATTAGAGTCGTGCTTTTCTTTTTTTTGTTGTTAGCAGTGTAGCATTGTAGCATTTAGCATGCTAACTAGCCAGTTAACTGAGTAAGGTGATTAAGTTATATCAGCAGTCAAGCATAAAAGATGGAGTAGTTTGCAACTTAAAGCCCAGTAAATTAAATCTTATGGTTTTTAATGGTAAGCTTTTTTTTGTTTGAAAGGGAAATGAATCAGGTTGCAATGATTTCTAGGCAAGCTTTGATGCCGAAGTTGACAGTGATTCACTCAATTCTTCACCTCTCCGAGGGCTCATTTAACACCCTTCACTTGAGCTAATAAAGTAGTGGAATGGCCCCTAAGATGGTGCTGAGGATTCTCTCAAGGTGAAATGATAAGGCCAAGAGAATGAAAAACCAGTATTAAAATGGGCAGCTTGTTGGGGTCTGAAGATATAGCCTGCCCCCTTGGTGGCTCTACTGCATTTTCCTGCCAGTGCAGGCTCTGGCTCACAGCAGTAGTGAACTTTGAGGTCACGTCATTTCTGTCTGCCTTGACGACAGTTTGCTCCAGTGATGTTGCCATTACTAGGCTAACATGGTGCTGCAGATCCTCTGTTGTCAGTGCACTGAGAAATGCCAGTTAATGCTGCACCTTTTCAAGAAAGTGGGCATAGGCCTGCCTCACCAGAACTGCATGGGCTGGGAATTAGCTAATGCACCGCCATAGAGCTGTCTTGTATGCTGTTAGCAGTGAGTGTTTTAGCTCCCTTAGTAATGTTGAGCAGTATTTGCAACACTTTTCCCTCCAATGCCAGACTTAACTGCAGCACTATCATCTCAGCCGTCCACCAATAATGTCTTGCAGCCACGTTCAGCTGAACCCAGGGACTTTCATTATAATCGCAGGGTAGGCATATGACTCCAGCTGCCAGCGGAGCCAAAACACTCTACTCTTTGTCCACTCTCTACAGGCCTCTTGAGTGCTTGTCACTGCTTGCTGCCATGCCAGCTCTGAGTACTTGCTGCTGGGCTGGCTTGCTTTCTGCTGCTAGCTCAGTTCCACCCTCTTCAGGCCTCCCCAGCCCCAGCCAGAACTCTCTGTCAGAACTTCATTGCTGCTGGCTCCACCTTAGCTGACTCTGTCCATACTTCTTCTCACTATGGTTGCCAAAGAC